AAATTTCTCCCGAAATAGGAAAGATAGTAGCAGAGAAGAGATATCAAACAATAATTTTACTTTATATATGTTTATTACAATGCACTATTGAAAATAAAAATATTTGTTTATATAAACACTGACATATATATATATATATATATATATGGATAATCTCTTAAGGTACAAAACTGGCATAATTAGTAGAATTCAACCATATGGGCACAAGCCTCAAATTATCTAGCAAGTTTTATTAAAAATCACCTTCAAAAAACAAAGAAAGTAGCAGAAGGGGTCAAACTCTAAGGATAAAAGTAGCCTTAATGCAAGCCATTATGCATTTTTTATAATTTACTACAAGTGGCTCTAAGACATATTTACAATTGCAGTAGTCATGAACAGGAAGTAATAAGAGAGTTTTCTTGCAGATATTTAACTTTAAATTGCTTATTTCACACATACTTATCTTATTTATAAGACAACTATTAATAGTGCAATTTCGATATCAGATTATACTGGGACAAAAAGCTTTAATTTGTAAGCAAAAAAGAATGATTCAATATACTTATAATATCGATATGATAAAACCTGGCTCTCACATTTCATTCTTTTACATTTGAATCTCTAAAAAGCTTTAAAGCATATGTTTGCTTCTTTTTTACAGATTTTTACATTTTCCAGTATACCTTATTTTCCCCTTCATATCATTCTCCTTTTATGAAAAGAGCTAAGAAATGAATTAGAGGGTTAAAAATTATACAAGAAAATTAATGTTATTCATGACATTTTCCGAAAATACTCTTTTCATAAGTTTAAAATGAATTACATAATATCTTTTTACAATACATACAAATTAATACTAACAAAGTTTTACTTAAAACACATACGCAATGGCTTTCTCATATAAGACTCACACTAAGTGATTTTTCACAAGAAAATCCTCATTGTCTAACCGGCTAGATTAGCTAACATTCGTAATAAAATTTTAAAAATTAAAATTTAGAAAAGAAATTTTTAAAATAATTGTACCTGAAAGGTTTTAGCACATAAGCCAGCCATAACAAAATAGTGGTAACTTTATTTAAACAGTTATATTTTGTAAATAAAAGTATTATGGTATTAAATATTTTTCAGAAAAAATTATGTCATCTTGAAAGAGCTAGGTCAATTGTTTCTGTTTTTTAATGCCAAGGTGAGTATTTTTTTCGTACTACAAACTTTTTCAAATTTGAGTTTTCGCTTACATAGCATTATAAATGCTCAGCGGCTCTCCTTAATTCTTGCATTATGGAAGATTTTTTTCTGCTGAATGGCAACATTCACATTGTCAACTCCCGCCATAGAAAATTTTGACCGAAAAGAAGTGGAGATTATGATTACGACGCCATCATATTGAAAGAAAAGTAATCAACATGGCTAGTCGAGACCACAAATTAGTTGTGGATAAAGATGCTTTCTATCGTAGGCTTCGAAAGTTGTATTCTGCTTGGTCGGTAAGTTCTTATCGACACCTTAAAGCTAGATTGTTCTTTATATTGTGAAGGTGATAGTTCTGTATAAGATTTCTAAACAATAAAACTTAAGCTTTATTTCCCATAATTTATTTAATAAAATGTATTTGTTTTGAGAACTGTTGATTTTCTTTTACTATACTTGTCTCACTTTTGTTCAAAAGTCCGATTTTGATACCGGCTCGGTTATTGGTAGAGTTAAAGTTGTTAATAAATGATGTCTATATCAGTTTTCAGTGATTTAAACATTTTTATAACTTTTGTTATTGTGGTGTGACAAAAACGTTCACGTAACCAGCATTTTAACAAAACTTCCCTTTAAATGAGATCTAGTATCCTATCTTAACCTATTAGAAAGCATTTTTAAATAGATGTAAAATTATCGGTACTAGATTTCCGCATCTATAAATACGTCAAAATAATTGCCAACATATAACGACTTTCGGGCAGTAGACCACGAGAAACTACATCACAGTGGGAAACCAACTCAAAGGATAGGGGACTACTCATAACCACCCCTGGGTGAACCTAAAACCTTGAATGTTGTATTCTCGAACAATTTGATGTTTCCAAAATAGAATTCCTCTAAAGAAAAGTTATTACTATAGTTAGTAATGTACCGAAAGTAATTTTTATTTTCAGGTTTTTTACTCTAGTAAATATTTCTAAGCTAAAATAAATTAAAACTTTTTTTTTCATTAATCTCTCTGAAAAAGAATTGCAATTCTACAAAGTTGTATCTTTTTTGGAGATTTTCATATTGTGATCAGTGGCAGTATAATCGTTAAATCTTGACAACTTCTGGACAGTGGCCTGTAAGAAACTAAAAATCACAGAAAAGGACCAACTCGAAAGTAAAACTCGTAGCCACCTCCGGCCAAATGTCTACAGTGCTTTTTTTTTATAAAAAATTTGCTAGTTCAAAATCTATTTGGCACCTTGGGGATTGTAGTTGGCATGACAGATCACGATTTGGAATTATCCCCTTTCTTTTAATAAAGATACGTGGGTAAGACAAACAAACGTGTTTTATAATACTCAGGCGTCTGTCTAGGTTTTTCTGAGACGTAGGGTGACCCGGGGTAATTCACAATCACTCTGTTTCTGGGGTAAATAATGATCACCTAAGTTTTATTTTTAAAAAATAATTTTTTTCTAAATTTGAGACATGGACAAGAATGCTGGTACACTTTACTAAGGTATAACTACATTTACTTAATAATAGTTTTTTGTTTAATCTAACAAAATAAGTATCTTTTAAACTGCTTTCTGTATTTTCCATTCAAAGATGGGTGTCAAAATGTGCACAGTTCGTCAAAGATCCCCCTCCTTCTCTTAATAATAAATGTTTTGGGTTACCTTCTTTTTCTTTGATATGAACATAGTGCAAGCTCTTGTTTAATTGTTTCACATCTACTGTAAATATTATAATTGATTTTAGGAAACTATATCAAATGTTGCCCCCTACAGATGGGGTAATTCCTGATCATTGTCATTTCTTTTCATAAATAGTATTAAAATAAGCTAATAAATAGCTAATTGTTTTTTCTTAAGTAACAATTCATATTTATCAAGTGGAACGACTATAAAATATATTTTAACTCAATTTAATCACAAAATTTGTTTTTAACCGTATGCTAGACAAATAAGTTCCGATTTGTCTTACCTTGCTTCTATCTTAATTTTATGTGTGTACATTGTTAGAATAATTTTTAAGTTTATAAATAAGCCCAATATAAGTATGGTGAGAAATTATAAGCCTAAAAAGGATACTAAGCTTCTAAAAAGCTAAATTAGTTCTAGTAATTAAAATTTCTTAATTAGTAAATTTCTTTTAATGATTGAAAATTTCAGTGTGAGAGCTGCTGCCAGAGCTGTTCTTAACTTTACACTCTCCATAATGAAGTTACAAAATCCAGCAAAAGTAACCCATGTGGGAACTCTTTCTTACATTCCAGCAGAACATGCGAATGAGTAGACTGCTTGCCTAAAATGTATGGCACAATACAAAGATTTTTGGAAAATTTAAAGTGTTAACCTTTATTTTTGCTTTTTAAATAAATCGTTTTTTAGCTGCTTAAACATATATTTTTGGTTTATTTGTTTGATCTTGATGTCTTATTTGTTAATAACCACTGTATAATTATTTTTAAACAGCCCCTCTATGATTAAAACTGGTGATCAGTAATTACCCCAGAAGTGATCAGGAATTACCCCAGAAAGGATCAAGAGAAGGGGTAATTCCTGATCACTAAAAATTTAAAATACTTTAAATTCTAATTAGATTTTCAAACAAAACATGGTAGCCTAGGATTCATCTCATATAGCCTCATACTTCCAGTAAATATTATAATTCTATCTTGAATAGTTTTCTTACAAAATAGATGTTTGCATTTTTTGATCAGGAATTACCCCAGGTAATCCTACCTATTTTGTAAAAATGTAGACATAATTTGTGAAAAATTACAAATTATATTAAAAAATCAACACAAAAATATGGATTTATCATTTCTTACGGGATACAAAATTAAATTTTGAGAAAGCTAGTTAAATCTTAAAAAACAACTATTTTCCTTCGATAATTTCCTTATATTCATTAGTATGTAATTCGTTTTTTTTTTTTTTTTTTTTTTTTTTTTTTGTTTAAGTGGACGTAAAAAAAAATTAACTCATTTTGGTAGGGTGATCATTTTGGTAATTCACGGTCACTCTGTTTCTGGGGTAAATAATGATCACCTAAGTTTTATTTTTAAAAAATTATTATTTTTTAAATTTGAGACACGGACAAGAATGCTTTTTTACTATACTAAAGTATAACTACATTTACTTCCTTATAGTTTTTTGTTTAATCTAACAAAATAAGTATCTTTTAAACTGCTTTCTGTATTTTCCATTCAAAGAGGGATCTCAAAATGTGCACAGTTCGTCAAAGATCCCCCTCCTTCTCTTAATAATAAATGTTTTGGGTTACCTTATTTTTCTTTGATATAAAAATAGTGTAAACTTATGTTTAATTGTTTCACATCTACTATAAACATTATTATTGATTGTAGGAAACTATATCAAATGTTGCCCCCTACAGATGGGGTAATTATTGATCACTGGGCTAATTCCTGATCTTTGTCATTTCTTCTTATAAATAATATAAAAAAATAACTTATAAATAGCTAATTGTCTTTTCTTAAATAACAGTTCATATTTATTAAGTGGAACAACTATAAAATATATTTTAACTGTAATCACAAAATTTGTAAGACAAATGTGTTCTGATTTGCACCATTTCTGGTTTGTCTTACCTTTCTTCTATCTTAATTTTATGTGTGTACATTGTTAGAATATTAAGTTTATAAATTAACCTAATATAAATATGGTAAGAAATTTTAAGCCTAAAAGAGATACTAAGCTTCTAGAAAGCAAAATCAGTGAATTTCTTTTAATGATTGAAAATGAAAATTTCAGTGTGAGAGCTGCTGTCAGTTGACATACCTTCCTTAACTTTACACTCTCACTTAATGAAGTTAAAAAGTCCAGCAAAAGTAACCCATGTGGGAACTCTTTCTTATATTCCAGCAGAACATAAGAATGAGTTGGCTGTTTGCCTAAAATGTGTAGCACAATGCAAAGATTTTTTGGAAAATTTAAAGTGTTAATCTTATTGCTTTTAAATAAATCGTTTTATTAGCTGCTTAAACATATATTTTTGGTTTATTTGTTTGATCTTGATTACTTATTTGTTAACTACCATTGTATAATTATTTTTAAATAGTCCCTTTAATAAAAACTGGTGATCAGTAATTACCCCAGAAGCAGGGTTGGGTTTTTGGCGTCAAAAAGTGGTTTTTGACATGACAAGGGTATAATACTGGTTTAAACCGTCAAAAACCCGTCAAAAATGTCAAAAACTGAAGTTTGCCAAGAAAATATATAAACTTCAAAACTACCAACAGTTGCCATGCATTATATTGAAATTTAATTATACTATAGGTAATCAGCAGGTTTTAAAATATTTTTTAATTAAAATTAAGGTAAAATAACAGATTTAAAATCTCAGAAATTTATATTCAAATGCATGTGCAGAAAAATTTTGCACAAAAATTGTTTAAATATTTATATTTAAAAAAATTTTTTTTTTCTTTTTGATACTTAAGAAAATTAAAAGTTTATTACTATGCATTTTTGACATATAAGGAACATATAACTAATATTTATAAGGAACTTACAAGTTATGTTGTATAAATACAAACTTGATATAAGATACAAGTGTATAAAAATTTTTTTTTAATGTTATACCGAATATCTTTATTATCCAGTATGTTAATTTGAATTTAAAAGTAGTTATATTTATGAATAATGATAAATATAATTCATATTGTTTATTATATTTATTTATAATTATTACACTTATCATTTTAAAACAATTTTTATCTCTTAATTTTTTTTTCTCCACTTGTATTAAGAATACAAATAATGCATATCTTGAAAGCAAGAAGTAATTATTCAACAGCTGAATATTTAGATATTCAACAAAACTATATCGTATTCAGCAAAATGAAATTCACAAGTATTTGGATAAACTAAATTTTCAGCATAGTAAATGAATAGGCTGAATATACTGTAAATCGACACTAACTACTCTGTGTATTTAACAGAAAGCACTTAAATTTGTATTGTCTTATGTTAAAAAGATTATTAAGAAGATTTAAAAGAATATTAAAAAGATTTTTCTTTAAAAGATGTCTAATGTACAAAACTGCTAATGTTTATCTTTAAAAATGTCTAATTTTTAGTATAATCTATACTATACACTAAATTTGGTTATAAATAAATTTCTTAATAATATCACTGCAGATTTTCAATAACACATGAAAATGAATACATAATATTACAAAAGATGTGAGCTTTCAAAAGTACAAGATTTTGGTTACTATTCAAAATATAAGTGTTTCTTCAAAATTTTAAATTTATTTTTTCTAGAACATATTTAGAAACACTATCCTTTATAAAAAATATATAAATTTTATGTATTAATTAAATTTCACATATGAATATAGGTTTTTGACGTGACGGTTTAAACCATGGTTAAAACCGTCAAAAACTGTCACATGTCAAAAACCTGCCAACCCTGCCCAGAAGTGATCAGGAATTACCCCAGAAATGATCAAGAGAAGGGATAATTCCTGATCACTAAAAATTTAAAGTATTTTAAATTCTAATTAGATTTTCAAACAAAAGAAAGTAGCATAGGACTTACCTCATAAACCCTCAAACTTCCAGTAAATATTAAAATTCTACCTTGAATGTTTTTTTCACAAAATAGATGTTTTCATTTTTTGATTAGGAATCACCGCAGGTCACCCTACTGGATAAAATTTTCTTTAATATCAAAATTTTTAGGCCCTCGTATTTATTGTTATGGGCCGAAATTAAACAATACTCAGTATAGTATCCCCAATATTATTCCTCATAATTCATTAATTAAATTTTTTTTTAACTTACTGCTTTATATTTGGGTTTATTTTATATTGGTAATATTCGGTTTTAAAGAAAGTCAATTAAATGAATAAATCTGCATTCAGTTTTTCAATGTATTTATGTTTACAGAATCCCGAAGGTGAAAATGGATTTTCTAAAATGGATGCTTTGGTGTGTGCTGTTGGTGTTGATGATGATATTGTTTACAGTAAATCCACTGCTTTACAGGTGAGGAATTTATACTTATTGTTTAATGGTTTTAAAGTAAATAGTTATAGGATTTACATAAAATATTTTAACACGAAAATTTTCTAAAAGTAGATATTAGTTCATAGTTTTTGATAAGATTTAATGAGCCTTAATTTATGTAGATTGTATAATGATATCTGTTAGTAACAGTTTAAAAGTACTTTGTCAATTCTTTATTGCAGTAAATAAATTTTAGTTATGAGCTAACTAAAAATTGTATTAAAATTCTTTCTTTGCTTTCAGACATGGCTCTTTGCTTATGAGCTTACTGATACCCTAATGGTTTTTTGTGAAAATAGTGTTTACTTTCTGGCCAGTAAAAAGAAAGTAGATTTTTTAAAGCAATTTGAATCTGGGAAGGAAAATGAAAACGGTGTTCCATCACTCTCAGTTTTAGTTCGTGATAAGGTAAATTAACTCTTAACTTATGAAATCATTGCTATTAATTTTATGAAGCAACTCCATATCAAAATTTGTATTATGTAATTTTTATAGGCTGATAAAGACAAAGCAAATTTTGAAAAACTGATTGCAGCTATTAAAAACAGTAAGAAGGTATGTTTTCATTTTTATTTATTGTTTATTTAAAATCCCTAGTGCTCAGAAACAAAGTTTTAAATGTAGAGTTTTGCCTTTAATAAAAATTTTAAAAAATGTGATTTATGTATTTCTTTTTTTATGTTTTTATTTGTTCTGTATTTTTTTTATTTTATTTATTTTACATAAAAGTATGAATACAGTATCTAATATTTTGAAAGAGAAAACATTAAAAAAGCTTGACAATAAATTATATCTAAAGTTGAGAACTAGCTATTACTAGAGTGTCAGAACTGTCTATTAAATTCAAAATAAAATTGACAGCATGTGAAATAATTAAAAAAAGAGTATACAACACAATTTATCGAAGGCAAAAAATTTTTTATGAAATTTCTATTTAATATGGCAACTTAAGATTAAGAAAGGAAAGTCACGTAATGATAAATGATTAATTAAAGTTAACTTAATGATTACATTAAGTTTGTTTTCAGTTCTTTCAAGGGCAACCATTTGGTGACTACTGGTATAAACGTGTGTAAATTTTTGTATTTCATAGTTGAAGAAAGAAAAAATTTAGATTAAATAAAGAACTTGGCAGTGTTTTTAAAAAAATAACAAATAAATCTTAGGTTGATAATGAAGCCAAACTTTTATGTTTATTACATAAAAAATTCGGTGTTTGCTCAAAAAAATTTTTTTTTTCACTAAATTAAAGACAAGAGAGCAAGCAATGTTTCTAAAGTGTGTTTTCCCTGAAATAGTTTAAAGCAAAACTTACACTTATGAATTTTAGAATTATGTCTTAAGTCAATCCATCTTAAGTATGTTAATTATTTTGTATAGAGTAATTATATGAAATTGTAATAATGTATTGTTTCTTTTTCAGGGTAATGTTATTGGTGAGTTTTCTAAAGACAAATTTCCTGGGGACTTTTTAGAATCTTGGAGAGCTGCGATTTCCAAGGAAAATTTTGAAACTGTAAGCATTAATTTGTCTCTTAATAAGTTAAATCATATTATAATTTAGGGATTTTAACCCTTCTCTGCTAATTGTGCAAATTATCTCTGGCAGAAAAAAGTTTTGATCTATTTTAAAATTAAAATAATTCATTTTATAATATCCGTGTTTAAAAAAAAAATTTGTAATGTTGGGCTTAATTTTTACACCAATTTTAATTAGCAATTTTTATAGTTTATCTTGTTTAAAAAAAAGGGTAATTATATCTGTATGATTTCAGCTGTGAGATACTATTTCAGCACTGTCATATGTTTTAAACTATATATTTGTATCTCTAAATTACTATCCTGTATGGTTGTTAAAAAAGTGGTATTTCTTGCCTTGAATAACTTGTGTTTTACATTGTTTTTCCACTATTTTCTTTGAAACCCCTAGGCATTGGATATTTTCCTAAGATGTGATAATTAACTCATGTTGGCTAATTTCTAATTAGCATATAAAGTTATGACTGTACTAAAAAGATCTCTAAGCTTTAATAAAAATTGTAGAACCTTTGGAAACTATTCACCATTTCCTTGAAATATAACGAAATCTGTATGATAAAAGTTAAAATTTAGAAAAGTAATACAATTTCAATTTTAATAGTTTATTACATTCAACAAGAAGTTATAAATTATGAAATATTGTAGCAGCAATGTCAACCTTATGCTTTTTTCCAGCTTGCTCAGGACATTAGTAGCATATTCTAAGCTATTGTATACTTATATAAACTATATATATTTGTTACTAAAATTATTTATTTTAGTTAATCTCCTAAGATATTTAACTAAAATAAATAATTTAAATGTCTTAGGAGATTAGTAGCTCACTTGCTTTTTATTTATACATATGTGGTGACATTTTTGTTTGAACATATCTATATGGCATTGAACATATATGGTGTTGTTATTTGCAACTCATTCTTGGTGTGGTGAAACAGAAGACCCCTCCCCTTTAGATAGCAAAATTGGTCATTTTGTCATCAAAAAGTTATTTGTCATCTTGGTCATCAATTATGAAAAACATCTTAATTTAAATTATCTTAAATGATACTGACATTGTTGTGTAATGCGTATCATAACAATAATTTATGTTATTTGCATGGGTTATGATGATTAATGAGTTTTTAAGTTTTTTTTTTCTTTTTTAAATTGAGACATTAAAGAAAACTAAACACGAACAAATAGTTGTGGAAGGTTTTATTGCAGCTTATCACCATCTTAGTTGCTTTATTTACACAGTACTAAAGTACAGTGGAGCATCGTTTATACGACGCCGAAGGGACCACTGAAAAACTTCGTGTAAACGATAACGTCGTATAATCGATTTTTTCTTTCAAAACTCGGAACTAACTCTGTTTTCAGTTATTTTTAATGTTTAACGTGTTGATTTACATAAATTTCTAAATTAGACAAAGCAAAACAAACAACCATAAAAAAAAAGAAGAAAAATTACAGTAAGCAATTTGAATGTACGTTACATTTATTTTATTTATTTATTACTAATTTTTTTTTTAATGCAAATGTTTTTTTTTTCACTTTAATCATTTCACGTTACGTTTACAGAAAAAATTATTTACGGTTGTTTGCTGTGAGGATTGATGTTAAGCTTTAATGTTGTCTTTGTTTCCTGAGACCATGCCAACGAAATCAAATTCATTGTTTGGACAACACTTATTTCCTTGTGATTAGGCTCTGCAATGCTTCGAATATTGAGTTCAACTAACTACTCTCCATACTCCAATTTTAGATTCCTAATCACGGCCAAATCTAATGGCTGAAGCACACTTTGTGCAGTTTGCAGGAAAAAGTGAACTTTTACATTTTCCAAAAAATTTGTAACCGGTGTGTGAGCTGTACATTGGTCGATAAATAGCAAAATTTTTAATTTTTGCCTCTGCATAACATTCTCTAGTTTTTTCAGATAGGTAACTAGTAAAAATTTCGGTCGTCTTCCACGCATTCTTATTGGCGTCATAATTCAGTGGAAGTGTTTTGATATGCTTTAGACGTCTGGGATTTTTTGATTTTCCCACCACTAAAGGAGTGATCTTTTCACTTCCATCAGAGTTTATACAAAGCAGCACAGTAAGGCAATCTTTTTCTTTTATGTCTCCTTTACATTTTTTGCCTTTATAAGCTAATGTCCGATTCGGCATTAAATGATAGAAACGACCAGTGTTTAGTGTGAAGAATGAAAGTAAAATAAATGTAAACAAAATCTAAAAACCGACATATAACCGATTCTGTGCGGCATATAACCGATATATTTTTACATTAAAATGAATAGGAATGAATTGGGACCACACTAAAACGTCGTATAAATGATGCTCCACTGTATTATAATTTCCTATGAGTTAATTAAATTATTTTAAATTAATATTCTTCAGGTTAAAGCTATATTCATATACAATTAATCTACTGACAAATTTTAAATATTAATCAGGAAATTGTATAACTATGTTTACTAATGCCTGATGTCTTTTTTTTAAATCATGTATTTAGGTTGATGTAACTGTAACTGCTGCTTATTTGATGGCTCCTAAAGAAGAAAGTGAAATTGCGACCATAAAAAAAGCATCTCAAGTAACTGTAGATGTGTTCTCTAAGTATCTGAAAGATCAGATAATGGAAATAATTGATGCTGATAAGGTAGATCTTGTTTAAAACCATTTTGTTCTCTTTTTATGTCTGTTCAATTATCATATAAACTTGTTTTCAATTTACAGAAAGTAAAGCATATGAAGCTCACGGAAGGTGTTGAACAAGCTGTTAATGACAAAAAGTATGTAACTGGTGTTGATATGCAACAAGTTGATTTATGTTATCCTGCTATTATCCAATCTGGTGGGAACTATAATTTGAAATTTAGTGTATCCAGGTATGTACAATACTTAACTTAAAATAAATTTTGTTGGTAATTTAATTTTGACTTTTAGAAATACTGTTTCAACTGTTTTATATCTATGTTAAGTGCTATTATTATATTTTATCAGATGATTAGACAAATAAATATTATTTTTGCCAACACTGGTGGCAAAATTACCTCTTTATATTGAATAAAACCTTAATAATTATTACCTGAATATAACCTGTTTATATTGAATTAAACAAAAATTATTGCAAAAGAATAATCATACTTAAGATTTGTTTTTTCGTGACTTTCCATGACATTTGAATTAACAATGTCAAAGATAATGAAACTTTTAATATCTAGATAAATTTACTAAAAAAGAATTTTCATAGAAAATATAATTATTTCATGGTATAAGTTCTACATCAGTTATTAAGTTAAAAAATTATTCAGTTAATCCTTAATTCAAGTTAAAAGATTAAAGTGTGTTTTTCTCTGCTTAACTTCTTCAAATTGGATTAGTCATCATTATTAAGGATGGATTAAATAATGGTCCCTAATTTTTAAACTAAAATCTGAAACATATTGCTTATCAGTAAATTAATTATCAAATGTTTTGGCTGACAGTGTTTTTTGTGTTGAATCTAATGATAAAATAATAATCATCCTATTAATTCAATTTGATTTTTTTTTCTTCTGATTTTAGTGACAAGAATAATTTACATTTTGGGGCAATCACATGTGCATTAGGTGCAAGATACAAATCATATTGTTCAAATATAGTAAGAACATTGCTTGTTAATCCCACCAAAGAGCAAGAAGAACTATACAATTTCCTTTTATTACTTCAAGAAACTGTGTTAAGTAAATTACAACATGGTGTTAAACTTTGTGATGTTTATGCTGAGGCAGTATCCTTTGTAGAAAAGAATCATAAAGAATTGCTGGATAAAATGGTCAAAAATTTAGGGTAATTTTAGTTTTAATATTTTCTTACATGCATTTAGATGAATAGAGCTCTTACGTTAATATTTTTCTTTTAAGGTTTGGAATGGGAATTGAATTCCGTGAAAGTACACTTGCAATCACAGCTAAAGCCAATGCTGTTGCCAAAAAAGGTAGGCATTCTGATTTTGTCAATTTTTCACAAAGTTAAATTGTTTTAAATATTCATTGAAGTACTATTCGAAATTACCTTATTCTTTACATCCTAACAAATATGATGAGATCCTATATGATGAAAAATCCTATAGTTATTTTTTTCTTCAAGTCATTTATAGAATCCTTCAACCAGAAAATAAATTATTTAGTTTACTTTTGGATATGGGAGCAACTTGGGGATATAATTAAATTACCAGCGAAAGCCTTTCGCTTCACACATTGATTTATTACATTCTTGTAATGATAATTACAAGAATCTTAATTGGCAGAAATAGTTTAGACAGGTCAAATTTTTAATTAATCTTTGAATACATAATTTTTTAATAATTTAATCATTTCTTCTGAATTTAAGATTTAAGTTCTATTTTATTGTAATATTATTAAAAACTTTCCTTGAGAAACGTAAATTTTTATCTAAAATGTCACTTACCTGCTTCTTTCACCGAGCTCTTCAAACATGAAGTTGATTAATAAATCATTTCACCAAACATTTTTGAAGCTATCTTAATGTTAGAAGTATTTCTGTAAATGTTGATGTTTTTTACTTAAACAAATCATAAATATTTGAATTTTTATGACATTTTTAGTTTTCAATTTCCTTCCTAGGTATGGTGTTCAGCGTTAATATTGGGTTCTCGAATTTAGAAAAAAAGGTTGATAACAAAACTGAAGTGTATGCGTTGTTTATTGGAGATACTGTAGCAGTTAATGAAGTAAGTGTGTCTATACAAGATTTGCTTTCTTTTTCTCGTGCATGTAACATGAAATATAATCTTTCTCTTTTTAACATTGACACACTAATATTCACCAAATTCATATTAAATAGTTGATAGTCTGCCCATGAGCCAATTAAGCATCTTAACCCTCTGAAGCATGTTTTCCACAAATGTTAGGATGATGAACAGTGGTATGTTCTTCCACTCAGCTTGGAGAAGATTTTCAAGATCTTTTACCGATGTTGGATGGTTGATGCCCTCGTTAATTCAGTGATTAAGATCATCCCAGAGGTTTTCTATTGGATTCAGGTCTGGATTCTAGACAAACCAGTCCACGTGGTTAACCCTATTGTCATCTTACCAATCCATGGTGGACCTGAGCAGTGGCATTGTCGTTCTTAAAGTGACGATGATCCAACCTGTAGAATTGCAGCAGTTTAGAAAACGTGTCGTTGTCTAGAATGGTAAAGTAGCAGCCTGCATAAATTGGGAAGTTCAATGCATTCTGGAAAAAGGCGTTCTCTAAGCATAAACCAAACCCAGACATTTCCATATGATTGAGGCAGATTGAATCTTGATTCATCGCTATAAAGAACTAATCTACGGTGCTATTTTGACATATACGGCACCACTTCAACTGAGCCATGGGTACAATTCTTCCGTCCCCAGGACGGATTTCCGTCTTTCGAAAATGTCCGCGGACGGAAACAAGACTGACTCGAAGACGGAAATCGGAATTTTTTTTTTTTCTGTCTATAAAAATATTTTTTAGGTCTACGTTATTGGTCTATTTTCTTATGTCCTGTTGTTATTTTATCTAAAGACAAATGAATAAATATTTTTTGTACAATATTTAATCTTGATGTATTATGGTAAAGCTTTCTTAGATAATTTGCATTGTGTATGTTAGGTATTTCAGTCAAAAAATTTTCAGTCTTGGCCTTTTTTCCAACTTGTACCCATGAACTGAGCAGCGCTGTTAAACTTTGTAATCAAAGGCTTATGCTTATAATCAACAATAGATCATGGAAACCAAGCAAATTTGCTTTCTTACGAGTTTTATTTATCAAAACATCAGTCCCGAATACTTGTTGAAACTCCTCGGTTGGATGCGGTTTTTCTGAATTTCTTCGGAGAGCACTTGTTGGTGTCCATCTGTTAGTTTCATGGGTCCGCCAAGTCGAAACATATTCTAAAGATCATCACTCACCTTCCTCCATTTAATCACAAAACCACTCCTAAACTGGGTAAAACTGTCTTAAAGTGTCCAAAACCTTAAACTTTGGTAAAAGGTAAAAATTCTATAGGTGTTACCATTGTACACATAATAATTACATGTATCAATAAATATTTGATATTTTTTATAAAAAAGAAAATAATATAATAGGAAAAGGTTTATAATTTTTGAAGCTCCACAATTCATGGAACAACAAAATTGAATGCCTAATCCTTTAAATATAAATATGCTTTTAATACTGATAAATAATATTTTTGCATAAGGATAAATATGGCAATATTAAAAAATAATAATTTTTCTTAAAAAAATACTAAATTTGTTCAAAAATTAACCTTTTATTTTTCACAATATTTTTTTTAAAAAATTTTATAATTTCTGCATCACAGGATGATAAAAAAGACATCTATTTTAAAGAAAAAATGTTTTTATAAATTGAAAATACAAAATAACTGAAAAATGTATTAATAGTTTTGAAGGGCATAACATCAGTTTCAGTTACTGACACTGGTGATGTATCACCACTGTACTAAAAGAATTGAACATGAATGAAATAAAAGTATTCTTGAATAGTACTATAGATAAATAAATCTGTTTATGATGAACCAAGCACTTAGTCCCTAATATTTTAACCTGTATGGCAAGGCCAAACTTCAGTTATGTACTATTGAATGAGAGGACCAATTGAACTTGATTACTGATTAATCTTCCTTTGTTTAAATTGAAGAGTCAAACAATATTAATAAAGCATTATACTTTTAAAAACAATATTCTCTAGTATATATTTAATTATCAATATGTTATTAGTTCTATGTTTATTTTACCTCTTAAATATTGTTCAGATAAAATTGTGACATAATTTGAGTAAAAGTGTTTTGGACAAAGGGGTTTTGGACAGGACGGTTTAAACCATGGATTAATCCATTCTGTCCTAAACCTTGCCAACCCTGGATCAGACATTTCTCTGATATCCAATAATGACACCTTTCTCAAAGTCAGACAACTCTGAATTTCGTTGTATCTTGCATGAATTAATGCCAATGCTGTTTACTACATGATATTTAAAAACAAAAGGTATGCAATAGATCAGGACCTCAGATATACTTGTTTACGTGTGTATCCAAATACTTGTTGGTAGATAGTGTGTATTATAAGGTTTGTCTTGTATGAATTTCTTAGTATAGTTTGTAATAATGTGTTTAATTTTTTTTTATGTTTTAGGGTCAACCTTGTACAATACTGACAAATAATAAGAAAAAGCTAAAGAATATTGCAATTGTACTTAAGGTATAATTAGTCTTTCTCACATAATTTATTGTTCACAAGTTTGTAATATTCATAATTACTTAAAAATTTATTATAATTCCAGGATGATGATGAGGAGGAAGAAGAGGAAGTAGAACCTGTTGTACAAGAAGAAACCTTAGTCCGTGGAAGAAGAACTGCTATTTTGGATTCGAAATTAAGAGTAATTATTTTCATTGGCTTTTTTTTAAAAAATATATGGTTTTAAAAGTTTGCTTTTTCCATATAAATATTAAATTTAATATGTGTTCAGAGTTTTTTAAAAAAAAATCAATAGTTATTTTTATCTTGTATTACTACAAATGTTTGTGATACAAATTATGAATTTTTCATTTTCATTGATTTCGTTATTTCTAATTCTCGTCAGTGTTTTCATTACAGAAAAAAAATGGGAGAGAATTTCTCAAAAACAGGGTGAGATTTCAAAAAGTTAAGTGAGATTTCTAAAAATTAAAAAAAAACCGAGTAGACTTTTAAAAAAAATATTTCTTTAATTATAATAAATTTTTAACATCTTCTGATTTCTAAACCATTGAACATTTAATATTTTTGCTGCATTATCATATGGAAAATGTTCTGTATCTACTTTTTCATTAGCTATTCTCATTAGGTTTGCTCAAATGCTTACCAATCGATCTGTTACAATATTTTGTTTTAATTCGGCTTGGGGGCTAATAACCTTGCAACAGATGCTGAACTATTCGGAATCACTAATTAAATTTGTAGCATTGTGCACACACTTTCCTATCCTCTACATCTGCCAGCATAGGTTCTTCACTTATTTCTGTTATGGAATAGTGAAGTTCGTTGAAGTTATTTCCATGTTCATACTCTTTGTCAGGTCTTCCAGATTAGTTTTCACAGACTTAAACTTTTACAAATTGCTCTAAATTGTCGATGAGGGAGTTTGGTAATTCATTAACAGCGAAAACTAGAGATAACTTTAAACAACTTATTATAAAGAACTCACTTTTTTTCTCAACACTTATCGTAGCTGTTTTCATGTCTTTTTCAAAATGGCAGAAGACTAAATTTTTTTCAAAATTCGAGAGATTCGTGCATTTTAAAATTGATAAATTCAGTGCGCGAACTTCTCGCGTTAATCATTTTTTAATGCGAGAAAAGAAAAAAATATGCGAGATTCTCGCGCTGTAGTGAAAACACTGCTCGTTGAAGAATCCTTTAATGACATTTAATTGTATTGAAAAAATCTTATTGCATTTAATTAAGCTCTTACTTATTCTTTATTTGTAGTTAATAAAAGTTCTAAGAATAATTTTCTAAATCATATTAAATCATGAAACCCTTCTGTAAATTTATTATTATTAAGTTATCCTGATTAACTAAATATGATGAGATTTCTTTAATATATTGTCCATTTTGGATTTAGACTGAACAATCGGCAGAAGAAAAAAGGAAACAGCGTCAAAAAGAGTTAGCAGAACAATTGAATAGAGAAGCTCAAGCTAGGTTGGCTGAACAAACTGGTGAAAAGAAAGAAGAAAAGTAATGTTTTTTCATTTATTTATTTTTCTCTGTCAGTAAAATGCTAGCAAACTTGGCAATGTGTTACCCAAATCTGTTAAATTCACAATTCTAACTGCTTTAAAACAAAAAAATATAGGTTGTTTGGAATTAAATTTTCTCCAATGTTTTTACTTAGTTACATGTTTACACATAATGTTTTTACAATGTTTTGATTCCATATATCTCACAAATGCATATAGACTTAGAACTCCTTCAGTGCTTCATGGTTTGAAATGAAGATCTTTTTTGTGATGTGTTATAAATGCAAATTGAATATAATTGTTTAGTTGAAACAAATTGTTAAAGTTTATTGTCTAACAAAAGTGTGCAAAGTTTAAGAATTATAAAGTGCTCACTTTAATCATCCAATTAAAATTATTTACTACTAGACTATAATCATCTCAATTCCCTTGCAATAATTACCAAATTTTGTTCGTACAGTAGAGAACCATTTATCTGGTATCCAGAAAACCGGGAAGAATTTTGCTTGCTTTTCCCACTATTTTAAAGTACTATAAGGATTATAAAAAAAAAAGCAGAAATTTGACTCATCCTTAAAGTTGAGTAGAGGGAAAGGGGGGAATTATTCTCCTCACTTGCCCAGAGGAACTTCAATTCTTCCCCTGACCTTGAAGATCATTAGATCCAGAGGGGGCAGGGAAGGGACAAATGTTTTATTTTCTCCTGTGTTTTCTTTTTCTGATAAGCTGCCATCAATCAAACTTAAAGGAGTGGCAAGCTGATTTCGTTTTCTCTTTGATTTACGAGGGGGTGGGGGAAATGCATTGCATAGGCATAGCAATGAACGTTTGAGTTAAGGAACTTGAAACATCTGGCTAAGAGTATTGATTTTAAAGGTGAAATGTGAGATTTATCCACTTCAGTTACTCAGTTTTGTTATTTATTATGGTGAATTGTTTTATTATTTCAGATAATGCATTATTTAATCACCAGTTATATTCATCTATTTGACATCAATTAGCAAAAAAAAAATTTTTTGTTTAATAAATTCTGATTTCTTAGAAATGCGATATCATTAGCAAGTTTTTCTTGATGTGCAAACACATCTGCTTTCCTTAAAAATAGTCTTTTAATAAAAAAATAAAATAAAAGGAGAAGATTGTTTATTAATTTAAGCATATAATTATTTGTTAATAAAAGCAGGTGCTTATTTTATAAAGAAGATAGTAGTTTTTTTTTTTTTTTTAAATTTTGATTGTTTTTCTGATTCCACTGCGTTTTTTTTTTCTTTTAGGATAAATTTTATTTTGTACTCGATAAATTAATCCATTTTATTCATAGATTTTATCATTAAGTTTTTTTCTTAATTCCGTTTATCTTATAATATCCTGTCTCTTCAAGGTTTTAATACTTATGTTAGTGCCTTTTTTAAACATTGTTTCCGTTCCATAATTTTCAAGTGTTGTTTTTATTTAGATTAATAAGTTTTCTATTCATCCTCCCCCCCCCCTAGTATAAGTAGGTATGAAATATATTGCGTTTTTTAATTATTGGTTTTGTTTTATATTAGTTAATTTTGGGATTTTAATTATCAAAAAATAACTATGCAAATTTTGTATTTTTTAAACTTGTTTTTCTTGTCTAAATTTGCAAATGTTTTTATCCTTATAAATTTTTTTTTTAATTTAGGAAATCTTTTTGTTTTTTTTTTCCCTATTTTTAAATATGTTTAACTTTTTCTTTCTAATTTGGGTTTGATAAAACATCGAATAATGGCACTTTTGGCCGATCCAGAAAACGGGGCAATTCAGACATCTGGAATAGCGATGGTCCCGAGCATCCTGGTTATATTGGTTCTCTACTGTATCAATTTAGATTTTTAAGGTGAAAGCAAATTAACTTTTAATAAATTGATTTTTTGCTTTTTAATTTTATTTTGTTGATGAAACATAAATGTTGCTGGTTTTTTATCTTCTGATAGTTGTATAAAAATAATTAGTTGTATATTTAGCAATATTTAATTTTATAACTTAAAACCTTTTTTCCTCGCTAGAGTGAGAAAGTCAAATGTCTCTTATAAATCAGTTGGTCAACTTCCAAAAGAAGATGAGCTTAAAGAATTAAAGTTGTTTGTTGGTAAGAAAATATTACCTTCATGTATATTTAATAAAGTAAAAATTCGTAATGGTTTTAGTTTGATTTACATGGCCAGATTGATATATTTGAAACTCATTTTTGCATATGTCTCGTTCAAATGTTTTGTAGATAGTCAATTTTGCCTCAAACTACATCTGATTAAATAGTTTAGGGTGCAAAAGTTGTATAGTACCATGGCTTTACTTATTAAGCCTTTGGTGAGTAAAGTGGACATTCTTAAAACATTTTTGACTAAATACTTAAATATATTAGATTGATAGCTTATATCTTTTCTGCATTATCGTTAAATAATTAAACTAGATGGGTCTTAAACAGAATCTGCTTTCTGAGACGGTAAAAATTGTAATTTATACTTCTTGAAGATTTTGAGAAAAATATTGTTTCTTGTTATTTTGTGCTATTGAAATCCATTTCGAAATTGGTGTGAAATTTGGAGAGTTCAACTCCTCCAACTCTCCACTGCCTTAACTTAAGATCCAATTAAATGCCTATTTCGCTTAGTTATCCTGGAAATAATTGTTACATTTATAAATTTTCTTTAGCCTGCGATGTTTAATAAAATTCAATAAAACTGATATTCATAATAAAATAAATGTTAATTTTTATATTTTAAAGAAATTTTTTTAATTGTTTCTTTTCAGATAGGAAATATGAAACTGTTATTCTTCCTGTTATGGGAATAAATGTTCCATTTCATATAGCTACCATTAAAGTAAGTATCTGAGTTACAAAAAAAACAATCATAATTTTGCTGAGGTTGTATTTTAATTGTTACTACCGACTTTTCATTATAACTTGAGTAGCTTAGATTAGCCAAAATAACTTCCACTTTTGATAATAGGAAGCTTCTTATGTTATATGTGTACAAAAAAAAATTGCAGCATCATCTCATCTTAAAAATGAAGCTGAAAATCTCAATTTAAACCAATGCGAAGGACAAACTTAAAATTATCAAATATTTTCCTTCCCTCTAATTTTTTTGCTGATGTCCTATCACTATTGGGATAACCAATATTGGGATGTCTAGATTTTTTAATATTGGTCCTGTACAGTGTCAATATCGACCTATATAGGACTTATATTGGCTGAATAATGATTATAAAATATTGGGTGAATCTGACAATTCAATATAGTGCTGATATTGGTTTTAAAGTAGCAGTAAAATAATTTGAGAATCTGACAATTCTATATAGGGAGCCTATCCAAAAAATATTGGCCCTTATTGTGCCAAGATTCGTGAATATTGGTCCAATGAGAGCCCAAGTTATTTTTCTGCTAGGGATGATATCAGTGTACTGTTCATTAAAAAATAAGTGCTACATTCCAGAGTGTGTAGCGTTTTCAATGCAAAAAGACACAGTTCGCATTGTTATATTCAAGGTTTTCACAATTAATTCAACCCCGATCTATTTCAGTTTTGTGTCAATCCGTAGCGTATGAAAACGCCATTCAATTAACACGATTCAAGATTTTTTACAATTGTCAAAAACAATGCCAAAAGGTTTTTTTTTTTTTTTACGTGACTTAAAAAAGGATAAAACTGTCAATCGTCAAAAACTTTCAACCCTGCCTAATTAATAATATTTTTTTAAGTGCTTAAAAATATTTTTTGAGTGCTTAAAAAGTGCTTATTTTTTGTTGAATAATTTGGCTACGCACCCTGACATTCCTTGAATGTCAAGATTATTCTCTCATTACATTTCAAGGGGGGGGGGAATCTCAATTTCATGATCCTGAAATTTTAAAAACTATGAATTTAGGCCTTATATCTTACCTAATACCATTAACAAATGCAGCAACAAATATTTTTACATTTGCCATTTCAAAAAAGTTAATCCATCATTTTATTTAAAAATAAAATAATAAGAATGAACAATTAAATGATTACAGAATTGTAAACCAAGGATCTGTACACTAATTTAATTTTAACAAAAATACTTAGTTGCAATCCTCACAATATTTTTTCCTAAGTAATAAATTTTCTAGGGTTTGGGTCTTTGTTTTGATTGACAGTTGAATATTTTTTCATGCAATTTATGATAATAATTATCAAATCTGTGCTTATTGAAAATTTAACTGTCAGTCATTCACTAAATTACAAATGTAATATTTTATTTAGACCGTACTTTTCTGCTTAACACTATTTATGCAGGGATGCAATTGAGTTGTAATCAAAGTTAACACAAAGTGAAGATTTTGTTAATGTGCTAGTATATTAATAAAATTTAAAGCATTAATTCTTCTATTGAAATAAATTTAATGAAAGAAAAAAAGTAATCATAATTCTGCTGAAAAAATTTTTCATACAAACCCGCATGTATGGTTCATACAATTTAAAAAAATTAAATCTCAAATGTCTTTTTTTTTTTTTTTTTAAATTTGAAATTTTGTGTTTTTTTGATTTTTTATTTAAATGCTAACATATTTAGCTTTTACCCTCTAACAGTTCTGCGTTTAAAAAGTCTTATTTTAACCTGCAGTCTGGTTTTTCCATGTACTTCAATAGAGAACTAGTTTATCGGTGAGAAACATTCTCTCAACTTCGCCCTTTTGTTAAACCGCCAGTGGGTTAATTTATCACAAGCTTTATTTGTTTATCGCATGTTTTATTTGTTATATATTTAAACACATTTAGTTTAAAATTTTTCATTCTAATGTACTTTTTGTGAACATACTTAATTACAATTTAATCTCAAAATAATATTTTAACTTTATTATTAGGATTTCATCAATTCAATTATTTATTTTTCATTTCAGAATATCAGTCAGTCTGTAGAAGGTGATTATACTTACCTCAGGATAAATTTTTTCCATCCTGGCTCAGCTTTAGGAAGAAATGAGGGGAATATCTTTCCAAACCCAGAAGCAACATTTTTAAAAGAAGTGTAAGTATTTCAATTTCTTTTTATTTTATTAATTATTTAGAAATACAGGGGTCTGTCCAGGCCAAATTTACTACCGTTTAGCGGTACCTTCACAAATTCAACTTTAGGAAAAACGGTACTTTCACAAAATACTTTTACCTAAAATTTTATTTTTGTATCCCGCAAAAAACGATAAATCCATATTTTTACCACATTTTTGTGCTGATTTTATTAATATAATTTTTAATTTTCACAAATTATGTCTAAATTTTCACAAAATAGGTACCTCGCAGAAAAACCTAGACAGACCCCTGAAATATATATATATATATGTTCGCTATATAACTGAAGTAGATTTAAAATGATCAACGCCTTTTTTACTTTCTGAAAGAAGTTTTCTATTTCCCTTAAATGATATTTTCAGATACAGGAATGTTATACGTGTGCCTTTTCCATATTTTTGTAAAATCTGCATTTTTCTTTATTTTTATAAAAAAAATTAAAAAGCAAATTCACATAGTCTTATATTTTTTTCTTTTTGTTCAATCTGCAGGGTATCCCCGCACCTGGAAAGTCATATATTTCAGTATTGAACAAAATTTATCATGAATTTAACAATTTTTTTAAAAAAAGTCATGAATTTAGGTCGACGAAAATTTTTTTTTTTTTTTTAAATGCAATCCTTCCCCAATTTCATGGTATTTCCGAATATCTGAATTTGTAACAAAATTCCAACTCTGAGTCCTATTTTATTAAAATATAAAAAGTTTTTATCATTTTTCTTTAAAAATTATGCTGTTCTTTCGAAAAATGAAAGAAAAAACATTTCTAGATCGAAGTATCTTTTAAACTTATGTGATTTCAAAATTATTATTATTAATCTTTTTTTTATTTTATCAATTTAAAATTCTAGCTGAAGCAAGCCAGTAATTGGCAAATTTTTTCAATTCCAAAATGAGAACAGAAAAATCAGTAATATTTCTTTCCTTTCTGATGAACAAGAAAAGTATCTTTAGAATATAATTCTGCAGGAAAAAAAGAAGAAAAAATTATTTGCCCAGCTATTATTTTTTCAGCTATTTTATTGCTTCAACTGTTTCTTTACTCTTGTTTTTTAAATTTAAATTAAATAAATATGAAGATGCAGAGTATAACAGTTTTGGTTATACCCATCATTTTAATTAATATTATAATAATGCTTTTATATTTATTATTCTGTTTTTGTCGAAGAAAATAGTAACTTTGTTAAGTCGTGAAAAGTTCTTGGAATTAGACGTGGAAAGTCATGAATTTGAAAATCTAAACTGTAGCAGATACCCTGAATCTGATACCGACTAAAATGATGGGTTCTTTTAGTAATTAGTGTTTGAAAAAAGTCAACTAATTATGAATGGGTTTTTAGAACTTAGAATTTTCCACAAGGTAACCTTTCTGATGAATATATTCTATTCTTTATCCTCAGATTTGTTTATCTGAACTTTAAAACTGATAACTTCTTAGCATTCACAAACTGGTTTTTCATATGCTGTTCCCGAGGGAAAGTGGTGTTCGCAAAAAACTGAAATTTTATGTTCCATGTAAATTGTTTTTTCCCCTTTTTATATGTTAATGTGTAATGTTTATTCTAATTTCAATATCCTTCATGCAGTACATACAGAAGCACGAATATTAAAGAACCTGGTGAATTATCTGCTCCTTCTACAAACCTCAACACAGCATTTAGGCTTATAAAAGAAGTACAGAAGAAATATAAGACAAGAGAAGCTGAAGAGAGAGAGAAAGAAGGCATTGTTAAACAAGATACTCTAGTTCTCAGTTCAAACAAGGGAAATCCAAAGCTGAAAGACTTGTATATCCGACCTAATATATATTCAAAAAGAATTTCAGGCACTTTGGAAGCCCATACAAATGGTAAGATAATATTTAATCGCCGGTTTTTTCATTTGTGATTACTTTATTTTTTATGTTCCTTACATTATTTCTTTAAAAGATACATTACTGACATTTCCAAGGGTCTGACCTCTTTATATCCTGTTTAGTTTTAACTGTTCTTGTTTTTTTCATTTGGTTATTGGTTTTCTTCTAATGTGATCTTTTGTTTTACTTGGAAAAAAATTTGCTCTTTTATGGCTGAAAGATTGGGAAAGAAAAAGATCTGAATCTTAAAGAGTAAAAATTTCATCCACCTTTTGCAATCTGTAATCTATAGACCTCTCTAAACTCCACTATGCAGAACATGTTCTGAGTCTGGAGAAATATTTGTACGAAATGAATAGTTTGTTTACTGTTTTTAAAACTTAATCATCAATATTGCAATGTATTTAGTGAGGAAGGGTACAATGTAGATGTATATCCAAATTTATCATGATCAATTCTATACCAATTTCAGGCAAAAAAATTTTATCATTTGCTTATTATAATTGCATTTTTTAAAATTGTTAGTCTGTATTTAATTTTTGATTTCTTTAGGTTTTAGATTTACATCAGTACGGGGTGATAAAGTAGATATTCTTTACAATAATATCAAACATGCCTTTTTCCAGCCCTGTGATGGAGAAATGATTATATTGCTACATTTCACACTTAAAGTAAGTTTATATCATAATGAAATATTATTTACAGAATACAAATTATTAACTCTGCTTAAATAATAACAATTTTAAATGATGAAAATTTTAAAAAATGATTTAAAAGTTTATTGGTGCATGTTTTTATAATTAGTATTTATATAATTTTTAGTTGTTCCATATACAGGGATGAGATTTTTAGCGTATTTCCGCTTTTTTTACTTTTGTGTCTCGAATATCCGTCTTTTTATCAAAAACTCCGATTATCAAATAGTTTCTCTTTTTTTAAAAAAAAATTTTAAATAAAGATTTTGCTTTTTCGAAAAATTTAGCTGTTGAAATAAAATAATTATATTTATTTCCGATTTTCAAAGATAAACAGAAAATTCAACCTACATATCTGTCATTCCTTCCACATTCTTATATTTTAGCTGTTTTCGCCCCTTTTACGCACAGAAGATACGATTTTCCTCATTTTTACCCGCCCGCCAGATAGTTCGTATTTTCGTACTTAAAGCATTTTAAAAGTCTCAAGCTCAGAATTTGCTATAACATTTCGATTCTTATTCACGCGATTTGAATATACTACAATATGATTCTTATTTAAGAGATTTAAAAATCCAATATCACTATTTGTATTTACGCGTTCTTAAAAACCTATGTAACGATTCGTATTCTCACGAGTTTGAAATCAATTATCGCGATTCTTGTAAGAAGTAGGTTTTTTTAAAATTAGTTACTATAAATGTGACTGTTTTTCTATCAACAATTATTAGCATATATAGGCATATTCGAAACTTACATTCTGTGCTTGCAAAGAAGAATGTGACGAAGGCAGGTAAAGAAAGAAAAAATAGGATTTGTGAAAAGATGTTTGAAGATGGACTAACGACTAAATTAATCAACATTCTGTTTCCCCTCATTCACAAGCTGCATTATGAGAAATTTGACCTAGTTAAAATATTTTTTGCTGGTTTTGTAAAACATGAGGCGTTTGCAGCAAATTAAGCAAAAAAAAAGATATAGCAAACAAAAGCAATCACTTAAAAAATTATTCAATTTTTTGTGGAAAAGAGTTTTTTAACTCAGCACCGAAATTTAAGAAATAATGCTGTTGTTATTTATGATATAAAATGCGAAATTCTTTTCATATGAAAAATAATTATCTAAACAGTTGCTGACTATCATGTAATTTTTTCGAACTAAAATAGCAATTTTTGTTGTTTGTTATCTTACATTGTCAGGAATTTATTATTAAATGATTGCACACGCGTAAAATTTACTCACTTGGAAATTCAGCTTTTTTGCCTTTTGGCCAATCTCATCCCTGCATATATAACTTATGAACACTATTGATTGACCTGCCAAATTGCAAAATTAATATAAATTAATTCTAATATGTTTATCGGTGGAGCTATTAATGCATATGTTCTTAAATATCTTAATTCAATCTAAAAATTTTGTTTCTCCATTAAATACCTTGATAAATTTAATGGAGAGAGCAAGTATTTCTGATGTCATATTTGTTTTAAATCAATTTTGATGTTACTTTATAATCACAATAACTTTATCTGCTGTTTTTCTTCTTGTTTTAGAACGCCATTATGTTTGGAAAGAAGAGAAATAATGATGTTCAATTTTACACAGAAGTAGGAGAAATTACAACTGATTTAGGAAAACATCAGCATATGCATGATAGAGATGATTTGGCTGCTGAACAGGTACAGTTTAGCTTTTTTTTCAATGAAGATCAACTTATTCGAAGCACCTGACTGTTTGTTCTCTCGCCCTTTGACAGATTGTTCTAAAATATATCTTTGTATTTAAATTTATATGCAACCCTTTACGTAAGGAGGGATTTAGGTCTGTGAACTATTTAGATCTATGAATTAAACTAGATCTGAGCCTTTTTTACTAGATCTCTGCAATCATTCATCGTGCAAAAAACAAGTTACTGTAAGGTTCGCATAAGTCTAATTTTATTATTTCAGAGAATAGTTTAACTTTCATAAAAAAAGGTGGCAACATTCAGATATGTAAATAGAACGCTTCGCAAACGCATATATTTCGCTGTTATTATTTTTCATTAAATACTTTTATAAAATATCTCTTCGCTTATTTACTGTATTGCATATTAATTAAATTCCTTGTCATTCAACTTTATCTTATATGGCGCAGCCGTCTTTTTAAAAAAGAACCTTTTTACAACTTCTTCTTTGAACATCGAACTTCTTCTATCGCTACATTTTAAATTCTTTCCATGAAATTTTGACTGCCAACGAAGCAAAAAAGTATTCATCATTGGCTGAAACTCGCCCAGGTAAACCTATTTTGACAAAAAATAACATATTTAACCGAAAAAAATTTGAAAATTGGATTCCTTTATATACTGATTTCTTCTCGCCAAACATACGTCGCCAAAACAGATTCGCTGCACTTTTCTCGCCAAGATGTCAACAGACGTGAATTCTGTTTTGAATGCCTTGAATGTGGAACGACTGACTCATTTAACTGTCGCCCAGTTAAAATCAGACTTGCGTTTAAGAAATCTTTCGCCCAATGGAAATAAAAATGACTTAATATCGCGTATAGTTAATGATAATATAAAAAGAACAGATGATGGAACTTTAGATGAACTTTTAACTCTTCGCATGCAATCG